GAGTTACAATAAGGAGGAATTCAGACCAAAGCATTGCAGTTACACTCTACATAGACCCCAACAGAATGATTTAAATGTGAAAAAATAATTTAAAAAGCATGATATACCCCCTTTTGAAATGAAAAAAAAAAAAAAAACATTTTCCTTGATTGTACTGATGTGGGCAACAGAATCCTAATATTTTTCCTGATGCATCATATAAATCCAGGTAGAAAAAAAGTTTAGTAGGTCCTCTAGATGGGTTTCTTGAAATGTTTTGCCTCGTCTTCAAGAGACTTCTTCAGTCTGCTGAGTTTTTAGGTAAACTCAAACTTATAAATGGTGCCTCCACACGGTGGAGAAACAGGTTTCACAATGACAATCAAAACTGTTTATTCGCATGTAAAAAAAATCAAAACTGTTTATTGACATGTAAAAAATCATAGCACTGAAACTGCTCTTATTAAAATTACTAATGATCTCCTTGCTGCTGACTCAGGACTGCTTTCAAAACTCATCCTCCTTGATCTGAGCTCTGCCTTTGACACCATCTCTCATCCTGTCCTTATCGACCGACTAATCTCTATCGGCATCTCAGACACCCCCCTGGACTGGTTTAAATCCCATCTTCCCGACTGCACTCAGTTCATACAGCTCAAGTCCTTCCGCTCCCAGTCCTCACCCATTTCCACCAGTGTTCCCCAAGGTTCTGTACTTGGGCCTCTACTTTTCATAATGTATCTGCTCCCGCTTGGCCACATCTTCTGTAAATTTGGTGTCCATTTCCACTGTTATGCCAACGACACTCAACTCTACATTTCAACAAAACCGAACTCCACCTTACCATTCTCCACTCTTACCGACTGCCTCAGTGAGCTCAAAAACTGGTTCTCCAACAATTTCTTTCAACTAAACCATAACAAAACTGAACCCCTCCTTGTTGGGATAAAAAACTCCATTTCCAAATCCCAACCTCTTCTCTTTACACCTAACAACTCCGTTCTTTCCCCCTCGCCTCAGGTCAAGAACCTAGGTGTCATCCTTGACACCACACTTTCTTTCACATCCCACATTAACAACGTGACTGGATCTGCMTACTTTCATCTTCGCAACATTAACCGTCTCCATCCTTCATTCACTCCCCGCTCCACAGCCATCCTTGTACACAGCCTAGTAACATCCAGGATCGACTACTGCAACTCCCTACCATTTGGCCTCCCCAATGAATCCCTTCACAATCTACAGTTGGTACAGAACTCAGCAGCCCATGTAATCACTCAAACCTCATCCTCTGCCCACATCACTCCATTCCTACAACAGCTCCAGTGGCTTCCAGTGAAATCCCACATCATCTTTAAAATTCTCCCACACACCTTCAAAGCTATCCACAATCTTTCCCTTCCTTACCTATCTGACCTCCTAAACATTTCCACACCAATGCCTCAGGCTGATGGTCCTCTACAAACAACAAGGATATTGTCTCTTGGAAGAGACACAAAATGTTTCATTAGAACCCTACTAAACTTTTTTCTTGGTAACAAACAAGTCATAATCATTTCTGCTTCTTTGAAAATAAAAACTAGTAATATAAAATGTCATTTTGAGTTTCTGCGGGTAACACTTTCCTGAGCATCAACTGAAAGCTGTGTTTTAAAAACCATATTTTTAATAAAGTYTTTTTTATGATTTTATTTTGCAACAGTGACTTTCTGGACATGAACAGAGGGTACAAGGACATCTGCTCAAGTCTGATCATCAAACATAGGCTCGTCGGTAAGGATACAATATTTAATATAATGTGATACTGAGGAGGGTAACCAGCTGTACTGTAGATCTACATGTGACAAACTGAACTACAAATGTTGCTTTGGGTACAGTACTGAGGACATTATGAACACATTTTAGAAAATTGTTTCTGAGAAACAAGTGCTTATAAACAGGAACAGTTTGATACTGTGAACACACTTAGATAAAACTCATGCTGTAGTTATTAGAAAACAAGACCAATCAAAGGCTGGTCCTGGAAAAAATAAAGTTTCTTGACGTCTGATCTCTGTAAATGTGTTAATGTGGAAGAGGGTGATGATGATGAGGAAGCTCAACATGTGATTGGCTAAAGCATTTGTTAAAATCACGCATGAATTTGTAGCGACCATGTAGTTCAAACATATTAATCTGTGAGGGCAGCCTGCCACTCTTGGACTACGGTTGTCATTTTTGTCCTGAAATGTTTTATTTATTTCAAACTGTACCAACATCACTTAAATGAGGAAGTAAAACTGAAGCTAAAGCTGTAACTACAGATGGCTGTTCGAACTCTTACAGCATTTACCACAGCTATTACAGCTTGTCTTGCATGCATGCTCTGTTACGACACACTGAGAAAAGGGAGGTTCTTTGTGTTTACRGGATGAACTAATAAACATGTAGAGCAATCAACCAGTAATCAAACAGGAAAAGGAAGAACAATCCACCCCACTTTGTACTAATCTTAATCCTGATCCATTAACTGCAGCTGAGAAAACATTCATCTTAGTCAAGCTGATTCTGCAACTCAAACACTGAAAACATAGGTGCTTTATAAAGCAAGTAAAAAGTATCACATTTATTTGATTCATTCAAACCCCCAAAAGCTGCTTTTTGTAATAATCCAGGTGTGAAAGGGACAAATCGTAGTCGAGCTTTGTTTCTGTTTCACTGTGACACTGGATCTGTTTCTTCTTTCATTTCACCCTGAAAACAGCTTGGCTCAATGTAACATTTATTTCTTATCCTGAAAGAGGTTCTGTGCAAATAAAAGCAGACCATGTTTAAAACTAGGGGGGGGGGGGGGGGCACTGATTGGTGGGCCTGATGGATAGTGCTTCATCAGAACTAAACAACAAAAGAAATCTGAAGCTCCTATGTTGAACAATTTCTGAGTTATAAGCATTTCTGCATGTCCTGACACCCCCTCTTTGGATGGAGCCCCCTCCTCAAATATGGGGTCTATTGTAAAACCGTTKGCTGGCGCAGTGTAGGTCGGACGCATCTACAGTCCTGCCAAATTTCATGTTGACCGGTGCAGCTGTTTTTGTGCTACGGTTCACCAAAAATCACTGAAAAAAACAGTATGAAAACAATATGACCCGCTTACGCTTCACGTGCGGGGGTCATAATAAACAGCCCAAACCGGTTTAAAGTTAAAGAGAACCGAGTACACATTCCTTCCACACCTGAACTGATCACTTTGTCTTCTTTTCTTGTTGTCAGGAAATCCCAAAAAGAACCAGGAGTTGGTTTCTCCTCAGTCTAAGTACTTCCTGAGCTGCGCCACATCATCCCTGCACGCTCGGTACACCTGGGACCACCCTGGCGGCTCCACGTCCTGCGACTCGAAGGATGGGAAGTGTGTTCTTCTCATAGACAGCATGGGCCCCGGTCAGGAGGGAAAGTATGAGTGTAAGTCTGAGGAGATGGGATACAGCAAGGTCCTGCAGACACACTATCTCCGGCTGAGCAGCGCCGCGGCGGGGTGGACCCCAGGACCAGCAGCCTGGGTTTGTTTGGTAGTGGTCCTGGTTCAGAGTTTCTAGTTTTCCTGGTGAATTAGGCTTACATGTAAAGCTGTTTGCTGAGACATCTAAACACATGATTGGTTCAATTCAAGTGCAAAAGCATCAAAATAGGCACTTCAGTTTTGTTAGAAGAAATGAGCTGCTCTGCTAAAGTCGAGCTGTTTCAGTCACTTCTACTTTTCTGTCAACACCAACTGGTTCTGCTTTTATCTCTGTTGTCTTGATATTTTAAATCCACACGCCAAATTCTGATTAATGTTTTTTTTGTGTAAATTTCTGAGAAGCTATTAGAAGTGACCAACAGCCACATGCTTTTATTTCTTGTTCTGTTTTTTTATCTTGATTTTGGTTTTACTTCTGGTCTCATGATTGATGAGTGGACCAAATACACCACAGGTGTTATGTGAAGCAGAACTGATGTGTGTTCGTGAAGTCTCACATTCTTTGCATATTTCAGTCAGCTCATATGTTGCTCAGCTTTCTTTTGAATGTATCGATATGTTAAAATATTAGTTTATTGTTCTTTGAGCTGATTTATTGTTTGATACATATGTAATTGTAACACCACAGGGAGCTTCACTGTGAACTCACTTATTGAAGAAGTCAGCTTGGCATGGAGTAGCCTGAGTTCAGATTCTGCACCATGCACATAAATCCTTTCCTGGATTTCTAGCTGGTGGAGAGATAATCTGGTGAAAACTGTGAACATGATTCAATGGATGAAGGCAATTGTAGTTTGGTACAGAAGAAATATTAACACAAGACTGAATTTAAAGAGTAATAATGAGCCTCTCACAGACCAAAAATATGCATGTTAGGATAGTTGGTCGTTGTAAATTGTCCCTTGATGTGAGTGAGAATGACTCTCCCTGTGGTGGACTTCAGATCCGTCCAAGGTGAACTCCGGTTTTTTGAGCAGACTGCTGGAGAAAGGCATCGACTCAAGACCCAGAAGAAAAAGAAAAAAGAGAAAGTGGGTACAAAGGATGGATGGGTTGCAGTTCTGCATCGTCATGAAGTCAAAATCATGTCAGACTGAATTCAACCATTTATATTTAAAGCACTTTTACTCAGCTACAAAAAAACAATAACAGTGTATAAAACACCCTAATGATGTGATTGACATATTACTTTAGAACCACAACCTGTTGCAGACCAGTGTGTGTGTGTGTGTA